TTGAGGTTGAAGTCTCAGGCGTTGGACTGGTGTTCTCGAAGAAGGTACTATATCTGTTAAAGTCTCATTCCTAGAATGGCGATGGATTCGTCGATAGTCAGGCAAAGCTGGACGCGATCTCCGATGCCGTCGAAAAGGCCATAAAACTACAGTCTCAATAAGAAGCCAGTTGCGCTACAAATTCCGCTTCGGTTCCCATGTGGTTTGTCCGTTAAATTATGACCGGCATCGTTTAAATGCTGTGGACGATGTTGTGATGCATTAACGAGACAAACACATGGCGAACTAGCCCCTCATACTGTTTTTTTTTATACATTCATATGCTTGACTTATAATTTTTGTCCGACAACTCATTGATCACGATATATTTCAGGTAAATCACGTTAATATTCATTGATAGTAACTTTCCCTGCGTTTTGAAAGACAGTGTGGTTATGGCTTTGTGAATCCGTTCGCGATGTTCTTTTGCTAACAGGAGTTTGTTAGTGTGAGAGTCAATTTGAGTCGGAGGTATGGTCTGTGGCAATTGTCTACGGTGGAGTTTGTTGTGACTAGGCTACGGAGACACTCGCCAACACGGTAGCGCCAATGATGGTTCAGTTTTGTCACGGAGGCTCGTCCACTCCGGTAACCATCTCCGGCAATCTGCGAGAGGGCTGCCTCGCTGACGGCAAGCAGTAAATCCTTACGGCATTCGTCACTAAAAAGATAGTTACATTATGAGGTTTCTGTGCCTCCGCTGGTGATACTTTTTAGGGTTATCAGGGCTTACTGGTTTGTTGTCAGCCAGTTTCTGTCCATGAATTCGATCCATGCGCTTGGACCTCTAGGGGTGTTGGCAGATCGAGCGATCGAAGAATGGGGTTGCTACTGTCTCAGCATGCTGTGCCTGTAGTGGCTCGGCTTCCGCCGCCTTGGTGAAATAGTCTACCATCACCAAAATATAATGGTTCCCTCTCGGAGTCGTGGGAAGCCGACTTATGATATCCATGTCTACTCGCTCCTCTGAAAGCCCGTGGACATCGGCGAGTTGAGTTCTTTAATCCGGTACACGTGACGCATGCGCGACAAAAATCAGAGACATCCGACGTCAGCGGCGTCAAGTATCTTCCTGGCCAAGTTGCTCATACAATTCCAACAGGGATGTCTGCATCAAAGAACCTGGTACTACGAGGCGTTTAGGACCTGCCGCATTATCTTTGTACCATATGACATCGTCTTCTAAAGAGTTTTTCCCAATTCCGCCGTACTTGCTTGGCTCTCTTGCTCGCCCACCTCATCTCCTCAACTGTGAACTTGGCTGAGGATGTCCTTAGTCTTTCGTAAAGCTGTATCGAGGTCAGAGCTCTGCGTGTTTCTCCAGTGATGGGAAGTAGGCTTGCTCAATAACAGCGCACTTACTATGTAACCATCCGTGGACGAGGATAAGAGTCTCCGCGACAGAGCGTCCGCATTGCCGTGAGAGCCTCCTTTCCTACATTGCACTATAAAATCATATTGTAGGTGCTCCTCGTACCACCTCGCAACGGAACGATTGATCTTCTTCATCGCCTTCAACCATGTCAGTGCCGGATTGTCTGTCCTTACAACGAACTGCTTTCCTATCAAGTAGTGTCTAAAATGCCTTACCATTGTGTAAATAGCGAAGAGTTCCCGTTCCGTTGCACTCTTCTGTTCAATCTTTTGGCTTAGACGTGAGCTGGCATACGCGACCACATGTTCTCTCCCGTTTTAGTCTTTTGGGATCGAACTCCACCGACCACAACATCGCTTGCGCCTGTGTCCAGCACGAACGGAGAAGCCTCGGCATTGAAGTTTGGTAAAGTCAAGATCGGTGCCGCGCAGAGAGCACGCTTCAACTCCTTAAACGCTTCTGTGTGTTCGCTTTCCCAACGAAACTCCTTTTTTTGCCTGTTTCTCGGTCAAGTTGTATAGGAGGTTTGCGATCTTAGCGAACTCTTTTGCAAAACACCAATAATAGTTTGCCAAAGCAAGGAAACGGCGAAGTTCCATTTGATTTATAGGTGTCGACCAAGTCCCCACTTGTCTTGTTCTGTCTTCCGTGACCGCCATCCCATCTGCAGATTTCGTGTGTCCCAG